CATGCCATCAGTACCGCCCTCCTGTCGTACTCAGAATAGGACAATTGTCATCCTGTTTGATTCTAGAACATTCTCTTCTTCCCTATAGCTGTGATTGATGATGATGGTGACGATGATTTTCTAGTCGTGGCAATACTAGACTACACTAGACATTCTGCAATCACAACTTTCTTTTCTGTGTCTCTTTGGCAAACTTTGAGACGGAAGAGCCGATCTCATAGCTCCCTACTCCCTAAAAACAGTTTTGAAAGTATACGAGAGCCAGACTTATATCTATTTTTACAGACAGATGAAATCACCATTCTCAGATGAATCTCCTTTCAGATGGCTTTCCGGGAACCCAGGAGAGATAAGGGGAGATTTCAAACGGGTGTGGGGTAGCAACTCCCTTCTGGTTCTGATCCTGCATCTGGTTCCTGGACCTGCCAATCCCAGGAGCCAGCAGTGGACTGCCGACCTTGGATTCATTTGCCCAACCTTGGGTTCATTCAACCCTGCGTCCACCAGCCTGTGATCTTCCTGCTTCCTGGTTTGTTCCCCCTGCATCAAGCTTGCCATCTGACCCACCGACCTGACCTGGATTTAACTACTTCTACGACTGCGTGTGTGGTTTCTGGATGTCAATCCTTTTTATATACAAAGACTTAATGTCACTGGTTTTGTATTTCTAGAGAGGCTAGCCTAACGGCGGTGTTTGCACAACAGAATCGATATTCACTGAACTCTCTGTGTGAAAACTATCACTGCCTCATGGCCTCATTCCCCCTCCTGCTCCGGTAAGTGTTATTAAACCCTGAAACTTGGCCTGGTCGACCAAGCTGATGGCTCCTTGGATCAGCCGGTCATAAAACAGTTTGGGTGCTTCTTAGGGGCAAGGGTGCAGGGCTTCGACTTCCCTACTTTGGATAGACGGTCCGGAGAAACCAGTCCCTAGCAAAGGGCATCATGCTTGGTAGGGGGGCCCATCAGGAAATGGATTGACACAGTGGGTGCAATGATTGAGAATGGCTTGGGACCAGGGAATGTTGGGTTCTGTTGGGAACCAACCACAACATGCAGCGGATGGCATTGTGTTTACGTGTTGGGCTGCTAACCACAAGAGCGACTCCTCAGGAGAAACGTGAGGCTTTCTACGCCTGTTGGGAGTTAGTCTCAGAAACCCACAGAGTCCATTTTGTCCTGTCCTATCGGGTTGCCGTGAGTCAGCATCCACTCGACGGCGGTGATACAGCCTTTCTGGACAGAGGATCGGAGTCTATAGAGGCCCTCCATCCTTCGCCTTATGTTGCAGCTAAACAAGCCTTTATGTAATTTCCAGATTCGGTGGGGCTCTCTTTGATAACCCCATTTTTCATGCTCCCATCATCCTCGCTAGCTAGTTCTAGAATGACTGGCCCCAGCAACGGCTATGCAGCTAGCATTCTTGGGGCAAATACCCACTATCTCTACCTTTACAATAAAACAAACAAACCGACAAACCTCTGCCTTGCTGCAGGGATATGTGGTCGGCAGTGCAGTCAACTGCCAGGGTCAGGAGTAGCGCAATCCGGTGTACGGAGATTTTCCTCTAAGCAGCGTGTAGTCTTCTTACAAAACAAGAACACAACCTACAGGCTCCCCTGCAAGGGAGAGCAAAACCTTGATACTGACCCAGTATGCTGGCATGTTAATTTGCGATGACGTCCACCTGTGGCACTGAGAGAGCTGTCTTACTGGCGCTTTGTGGTTTGAGGAGCTGAAGGAGCCCTGGTGGTGCTGTTGTGTTAGCGTTGGACTGTTGTTAATCGCAAGGCTGGAGGTTCAAACCCACCACTTGCTCCTGCTTGCTCCAAAGGAGACAGATGAGGCTATGGATGGCAGAGGCTTTTTTGTTGTTGTTGTTTGGTTTGATTCACTTCAGTGCTCAAAACACACACTCAATGGCTTTGAGTCGATTCCGACTCACAGCCACCTGCTGGACGGACCAGAAGTGCCCTGGGGGTATCTGAAACTGTAAGTCTGCAGGCACAGAAAGCCCCATCGCTGTCCCTCAGAGTAGCTGGTGCTTTTGAACTGCTGGCTTTGCTGTGGGTAGCCGACCATGTCGTCCACCTGGGCTTATCTTTAACTGTGAATCAGAGTTGTAATGGCCTTCCTCTCAAGGTGGTGTTTACGTGCTGCACAACAAAGACAACACCCTTTACCATCGAGTCCCTCCGAACTGCCCCGTTGGGCGGTCAAGGCTGTGAGCTTAGAGCAGCACATCACCTTTTTCCCCTGGGGGCTCTGGGTGGGTTAGAGATACCAGCATGTCGGTAGGGCCACCCCAGGACTCTGTCACAACCAGATGCAGGAACTTTTTATATGAAGATACCGCATTAGGCCGGTCTGCCTCCTTCCTGTGGAAAAGAACACAAGCGACAACCGTTTTCACGGCCCCCTGGGTATGGTTTTATCCAAAGAGCAAAGGTTTGGACAGTGCATAGAACAAACACTGTGGGTGCCTGGTGGACACAGGCTTTGCCCACGGAGAGCTGTGATGCATCCCGTCAAATCTCAGCGGTCCCTCGGAGGTCAGGAGAACTCATTGTGGGCCAAGGGCATGGCCAGCACCAGAAACAGCCCTTCCCAGCCCTTGACTGGGAGTCCATGCAATGGGGGAGTGAAGCACCGGAAGACAACGGCCCCTGTCCACCCTTGACCTCAAAGCGCAGTCCGTCTGGACACCATCACAGGAATCCCAGGTTCCCCCGTCGCCACGGTCACAGACATGGAGACGGGCATGGGTGGGCGACACTCGGTCAACCAGAAGAATCCTCAAGGGGGTTAATTCCAATTCCCAGCAGGTCCCTTTGTTTAGGCATGGTATTGTTAATCCTCACAAAGCCCAGATGAGGTAGATGTCATCCAGGGATGGGCCTTAGTCAGCAAAACCAAACTCACTGCCATTTGCCAGTTCTGACTCTTAGCCACCCTACAGGTCACGGTAGACCTGCCCTCGTGGGCTACTGAGACTTCCACGTCTTCAGGTGATGGACAGTCTTGTCAAGATCTTCCCCTCAGATGTGCCCCGTCTGTCCCAACCCCCTCCTCAGCAGCCCCGGCTGGCTTTCCTGTGATCTCAGACTTTGTCTGACTCCTCTTCTGCTCCAGCTTCCGTTCCTGCTGGATGGCATCACTGGTCACATGGTGGCAACCAGCATCCTTAGGCAAAGTGGAACCCCTTTCAAAGGGCACAGTGGAGAGGCTGTCAGGGGACAATGGTCTGACGACAGGGGACATACACTAAGGGGAGTCAGCAGGAACATTTGCGTCTTAAAAAAAAGGTGCCCCTTGGCGTTAAAGATTCAGCCAGGCAGTGTTGGTTGATAAACGTTGGCCTGCTGAATTTTAAAGCCAAGGATTTCTCTTCTCTGAACTGGTGCCACTATGGGATGACAGGACGAATTTCAACACCAAACCTTATTTCAGCTAGCAGTTTATCAGTCACGTTATGAGCAAGGTATTAGTTGGTTGGCTGGCTGGCTGGGGCTTCCGCTCACTCCTCTCCACCAGACAGTTTTAAAAGACGAGTGTCCTAGTGATGTGCCCAGGGCCCTTTAGAAAGAAAAATACTTGGTGAACCACTCCTGGTGGGCAGAGCCGGGCTTCTGCTGGACATCTTTGGGCTGGGCTGTTTCACCCTCTTGGTTCCTGAAAAACAGACACAGGTGTTTTCTTCCCTGGCTACGAAAATTATTCCGTCAGCCACTGAACACCGCCCACTCTTGCTTAAGACTCCATGTTAACGAATGAGAAGGAACTCGGAGGGAGCTGTGGGTTAGGCTTTGGGCCGCTAACGGCCAGGTCAGGGATTCAAACCCATCAGCCGCTCCTAGAGAGAAAGGTGAGGCTGTCTGCTCCTATAAAGACTTACAGCCCCAGAAACCTTACAGAGAGGCCCTGAGTCGGAATAAATTCGATGGTAGCATGTTTAGGTTTGGGTTTTTGAATGCTTCACAGGGAGTCCTTGGATGATGCAAAAGGTTAACATGCTCAGCTACTAACCAATGTGCTGGAGATTGGAGGCCACTCAGAAGAAAGGCCTGGAAATCTATTTCCAAAAGAAAAACACCAGCCGGTAAAAACCCTACGGCACTCAGCTCTACCCCGAGCACCAAGGTCAGCACAAGTTGGGGCTGACTTGGGGCTTTCAGCCTGTGCTGGGCCCCTGCCAGGGCCAGGAGCTGCAGTGACAGTTAACACCAGGTTTATGGCCATTTCTTATAGACCTCTCCTTACGGATGGACAACATCAAATTGACATGGGAACGAAACCACGCCTTTAGAAAGCAACTTATTTTAAAACAACAATCATATGCTATTAACTTATAAATGAACCCATATGATACTACATACTTGTGTGTAACGTGTGATATTTAACATAATACATTAGCGATCACTGGGTTCCACGTAGCCTAAGGGTCTCTTGGGTTGGTCCGTGTGACAGTCTCCAGTGCACTGTTTGTCTTCACGTGGATGTTCACTTTCTAAGAGCTTTTCACTGCACTTATAGGTATGACTGAAGTAACGCTTTCGTGAATGAAACCCATGTACTGGGATGAATATTCCATTCACGTTCACGTCAAAGTGACACATTATCTCTACCACACCGAGAGTTTTGAGATGAGCTGACTTAGAAGAAAATGAATTTGGATACATGTTTGTCTTGTGTAATGGATAAGGGTCAGTGTACATGGTAGGGGGTTGAGAGTTTATTGTGCCAGCCTGGCTGATAAACACAAGTGGGATTAACTGAAGGGCAGAGAGAGAAATGGCTTGGTGAGCCTTGCCTTTCTTGTCTCTCGCTCTGTGATCATCGGACCTGTGTGCGGCTGCCTTGCTTGCTCTGTGCCTCAATTTAAAGGCTACACTACCTGTGGGACACCTAGCCTGTGGACTGTGTCGCTGTAAGTTGAGGTTCCTTTTAGACACCTCTGGAGCTAGGGACTGGCGGTTGGTGACCTGCCTTGTGATTGGCTGCTGTGCTGACATAGCCTAGCTCTCTCTACAAATAGAGGAAGATCTGGCAGCAGACTAGGCTTGAAGGACTGCTAGTCTCTCAACTTTCTCTCATGGACGTGAGTTGCACTGAGCCATTTGTAGTGCTTTCTAATTTAACTGTTTATTTCTTGTATTATATATTTATCTGTATATGATTTAATAGTTCATTTCTTGTTATATATCTAATTATCTTTATAAATAAATACATTAAATTATCAGCAATTTGGTTTTATCTCTCTAGAGAACCCTGTCTAACACAAGGGTGAATGTAACAGTTTCCTAAATGTTCGTTGAGGAAGTTAAAATGAGTCAAAGCAATGAGTTCTGTAAAACTGATGTTGAGCGACTGCTTGGGGCTTCACACCTAATTCCTCAGTTGTGAAAAGAGGGGTTTGGATTGGCACAATGACCACCCGGGCTCCTGTTCCTACTCCTGTCTGATCGTCACCCGAGCCTGGAGTCCTTGTCCAGCCAATCAGACTCAGAGCAACCCCTGTGACAGGGAAGAGCTGCCCCATAGGGGTTCCTGTCTTGCAAACTTGACGGGAACAGCTGGAGAGGTCTTCTTTCTGTGGAACCAAGGGGTGGGTTCAAACTGCCAACCTTTGTGTTAGCGACCGAGCGCCACCAGGGCTCCTCATTAAAGGTTCTATCCCCTGCCACCGAGCTGATTCCAACTCGTGACTCTGCAGGCCACAGCAGACCTGCTGTGCATGGTTTCTGAGGCTGAAAATCTTTACGACAACAGAAAATTTCATCTTTCACCCAAGTGGCAGCTGACTGGTTTGAACTGCTGACCTTATGGCAACCAGGTGCTTCCCTCACAGCACTACCAAGGCTCTTCATTTGTGTAAACAGTCTCTGGGCAGGTAGGGCCCCTGGCAGGGGGACAGCAGAGAAGGGGCTGGCTCTGGAATGCCAAATTGAAGGCCCAGAATTAGAGCATGTGGGGGAGACTGGCCAGCAGGGAGCCAACATGAAGGAAGGGAATGTCTGCACGCTCTGGCAGAGAAATATTTCTGGAAAAACTGAGGTCTGAGATCATCATGTGCCATCAGGCACCCCACGGATTACGAGATCTAAAAATCCCAGGATGCACCACATTTTAAGAAATGCCAGCAATAATGGAGGAATTGGAACTATTTGGGGGGGCTTCTGCACGAGACCCAGTGGGTGTTATTTCTTTTAGTTTCACAACATTCTGACGAGGAGCTTCTGGTGCCCCCATGTTAGAGGAAACAGACCCAAAGAGGTCAAATCACTTGCCCAAAGTCACACAGCTAAGAACGAACAGGGTGGGGGCTGGAACCTGAACCCGGATCTTGTGGCCAGGGAAGAAAGTGCATCTTCTGTGAGCACTATGAGCTGAAGTTGGGTAAGCGAGTCAGGTTGCCGATCTAATAAAAATGAAACCCACTGCCAGCAAGTCCGTGCTGACACATGGGGACAAGACAGGGTAGAACTGTCCTGTGGGTGCAACTTTTCATGGGAGCAGAAAGGTATGCTTTTCTCCCTTGGAGTGACTGGTGGGTCTGAACCACCCACCTTATGATGAGCAGCCTAGCACATAGCCTGCTGAGCAATCAGGGCTCCTGCTCTGATAATCCCTGGGAGAAAAGTCCTTCTGGAATTTGGTATGAAGAATCATGCAGTTTCTGGATGCTTGGAGGCTGCAGGTGAGGGGCCCTGGCCCAGTGGACGCTGGGTCTCCTGCAGAATCCCTGAGGTGTCCAGTTCAGGGTCAGACAGGGCTTGTTTCACTCTGGCAGCTGGATGACCCTTCGTCCAGGGCCAGACTGGTTTATCATTCAAAAGCCTCGGTGCCAGCATGAACCCAACATCCCATCTGTCCATCAGGACATGGCCTCCCAGCTCTCCCCTCCCCCATACCTTGAGGCAGTTTTAGCATCTGGAGCCTGGCTGGGTTTGTAGGGCCGGCCAGCGCTGGGGCTGGGGTCCAGGCTGGGCGACTTGGTAATTGGAGGGGCATTGATCCTGGAGCTCAAATCACCACTCAGGAAGTTCTTGGCGTAGGAGGCGAGGTTTGGCACACTGACCACTCGGCTGGGCACTTCCTCCACCCTCTTCTTCTGCATGTGAGAGAGGAAAGCTCCATGAGTTCCAGCAAGGCAATGGATTTCGTGTGAGCTTGAATTCTGAGCATCCCAGTTTGCAGAAAGCTATGATGACAGCGGCCGCCCCCAATCCATTTGCAGAGTCCCCACACAGACGAAGCCTCCACTGGCTTCCTTCTGATCCTTAACCAAGGACTAGGTGGTCTTGGCCTCAGGCAGAGCGCCTTGGCCAGCAGACTGTCCACCCCTCTCCAGCAGTACTGTGGACAGCCAAGCCAACAGACAAGTCTGTCTTGGAAGAAGTACAGCCAGAATGCTCCTTAGAGGCAAGGATGATGAGACCCCGCCTCATGTACTTTAGACATGTCTTCGGTGCGACCTGTCCTGGGAGAAGGACCTGCCTGCTAGGTAAAGTTGAGGGGCAACAAAAAGGCCAGCCCTGGATGAGATGGATTGACACAGTGGCTGCAGGAATGTGCTCAAATATGAAGGGCAATCGTGAGGATGGTGCAGGGCAGGGCTGTTTCATTCTGTTATGTGTAGGGTCACCATGGGCGGAACCGACCCGATGCCCCCTCACCACCGCCATCTTCAGGAAGCAACAAATGAGCGGTAGAGGGGCATGCACGAAAAGCAGTGGGGAAACTTACCTTCATGGAAGGGGTCAAATACCCAGGATGAGGATTGAAGGAAAAGGACCGGTTCCGATGGGACATGGCGCTGGGGAACGCTGCGTAACGGAAGCGTCTCTCCTGCAAAAAACACACAAGCATGTCTGTCTGTAGCCTGAACACAGCGCTGCGCATGAGTGACAGGAGACAAGCGGAGGGCCGGGCCACGGGCGGGGCTCAGGCCAGGACCCCAGAGCAGAGGCTGCAGCTGTGGTTGCTGTGCGAGCGTGGTGCTTCTATCCCTGCGCCTCTGCGTTGAGTGCCCCCCAACTCGTGGTGACCCCATGCGCTCAGTCACACTGGTGTTGCGGCTGGACAGTGCCAGGACTTTCTTACGAGGACCCTCAGAGTGACTCCACCCTCACATCCTCTTGGTTAGCAGCCTAGCGGGAGCCGTGTGCAGCAGCCTGGGATTTCCCCCCAAATCAAAACTCAAATCAAACTCACCGCCGTCGAGTCGATTCTGACTCGGTAGCAGTCCAGTGCCTTGGTCACCATGTCCACTCCCCAAGCCAAACCCAACCCACTCCCCATGGAGTCCCCGCCTGCCCCTGCGGGCAGGGCCGAGCTGCCCTTGCGTTCCGAACCTGTAACTCTCGACTGGAAAGACCCTTCTCACGTGGTTTGAACTTTAAAAAAAATTTTTAATTAATTCATTTCATCGTTTAATTGGGAGCTCTTACGGATATCATAGCATTCTATAGTTCAATCACGCCAAGCAGTATTGTACAATTGCTATCACAATCAGTTTCAAGACATTTTTTCTTGAACTCCTTGAGATCATCTCCCCTTTATCCCCTCTCCCTCAGGAACCCTTATTATTATTATTCTTTTTGCTATATCTGACACCATCCAGTATATCTGTTTACATACAATTCTGTTGTTTAATCCCCTTGAGCGGGGTCATATACAGCCATCAATGCTATCAGCTCCTTCCCTTCCTCTCCCCCTTTCTTCCCATTCCCTCAGGGAACCATTACTCCTGTTACTGTACCCAATGATCTTGATTATACAACTGGCTTTCATGTATCCAATGATCTGATTATACAACTGACATATGTATGTCTGACATGATTAATGAGGTAAAACAAAGAAAAACCATCATAGTAAGGGAGGGGAATATTAGAGAATAGTTATGTGGTTCATCAGTGCAATACTGCACCCTAGATTTATCATTCCTTCCTTGTGGCCCTTCTGAGGACCACCCAGTTGTCTCACAGGTGGGTTTTGGGTCTCCACTTTGTCCACGCTCCTTCACATTAATTTGATTGCTTGTTTTTGAATTTCTGATACCTCTTCCCATCGACACCTCATGATCACACAGGCTGATGTGCTTCTTCCATGTGGGCATTGTTGCTTCCCTGCTAGGTGGCCACTTGTTTAATTACAAGCCTTTAAGACCCAGATGCTATATCTTTTGATAGCTGGGCACTACCAGCTTTCTTCACCACATTTGCTTATGCACCCACTTTGTCTTCAGGGATCAAGTCAGGAAGGTGAGTATCATACAATGCCACATTATTAGAACAAACCATGTTGTACTGTGATAAGATTTAAGTACAGGCGGAGTGTCCATCTGCTTCCTAACCGCTACGCCTCCAGGGCTCCTTACTTCACCCCCTAGCAATGCCAAGTGAGTGTTCAATCCTAATGACTCTCTGGATTTCCGGACATTGTGTAAATTCTCCAGGTTACCGCCCAGGGGCTGGCAGAGCGAGCAGATGGGAGAGGCATGGAGTCAAGACAATAAGGAGCTAGCAGGCCAGGACTATGCCTGAGCTTTCACCCCGCAGGAGATGGGCAGTCGTGAGGGTGCTAACACAGCCCTGCCAGACTGGCTTCTATCCACCCCCCCACCCCACCCCCCAGCTGCTCTGGTTCTCTGGAACCAGTACAGAGGGCGAGGCAGGGGCATGGAGACCCGGTAATGGATTCTCCAGTTTCGTGGGTCACTGAGAGATGATAGGGCTAGGATCAAGGTTATGGGAAACATGGGGCTGGGGGGAGAGGGGGGCAGCTGGAGGGAGACTTCTGGTTGTCACCCACACTGACGTGTGAATTCAGCACCCACTGTCCCCACGTTGAAGGCCAGCTCCTGGGAACTGTCCTGGTGCCCCAGCTTGGCGACAGAAGGACCTTCCCACTGGGGCGGGGAGGGGTGGTCCATGTAAGAGGGGAAGGGGGCGGAGACGGGAGGAGGGCATGTCAAAGCCTTAGTGCCCTGGGGAGCGGAATCACAGGGACAGGGAGAGAGGCTTTTCTGTTACAGGTTCGAACCTACCAGCCACTCTGCAGAGAAAGAGGCGGCAGTTGGCTTCAAAATGGATTTGATGGCAAATGGCTTCTGGTTTAGGGGCAGCTATGCGGGCGGTCACTAGGAGGCAGCATTGACTCAATGGCAGCGAGTTTGGATTGGGTTTGTGAGTTGGGCTGCTGGCCCCCCAAGATCCCCGCCAGCTCTTCTAAGGTGGAAGGATGAGACTGCTCACGGGAAGATTCCCAGTCTCTGAAACCAGAGCAGGCAGGTCTACCCTGTTCTATGGGGCCGATTAGAAAACCAAACAAAGCCCCTCACCGACACTGAGTCAATTCTGACTCATTGTGCCCCCAGAGGGCAACTGCTGCCCAGAGGTTCCCGACTCACGGGGACCCTGCAGGACAGAGAAGAACTGACCCTGAGGGTTTCCACAGCTGTACATTTTCCCAGAAGCAGACTGCTTCCCAGTTCCCCCGTGGAGGGACTGCTAGGTTCAAACTGCTGACCATGAGTCCCAGCTTGCTGTCTAACCACTGGGCAACCAGAATCCTTCTCACACAGGAAACCAGCTCAGGATCCTTTGTGAGGTGGTTTTTCTGGCCATCAAGATGAAGATGGTAGGTACCCAGGAACTGCTGGGGGTGCAGAGTCAAGGCCCCTGGTGAGGTCCTTGGTGGCCTGTGGCCCCCCCACTCCCCGGGCAGGGTTCACAGCCTCACCGTGAGCTGCTCGATGATGTCCTCTCGCCCCTTCAGGCGGCTCTGCAGGCGGCCACTGAGCTGCAGGTCCTCTGGCTGCGAAGCCCCCTTCCCCAGCTTCTCTCTGGAGTCTCTGAGCCTGTTGTAAACAGACTAGCAGTTAGCCCTTCCCCCAGAGAGAAATGAAAGAGTGCTGGTGCTTCCTCTGAGCAGGCACTCGCTCTGCTGCAAGGAGGAAACTGAGGCCTAGAGTCTTGTCCGGGCTGCAGACCCTAGCCCGAGTTGTCAGGGCTTCAAGGACAAGGAGCCCGGGTTCTGGTTCTCCTGAAAAAAATTATTGTGGTGAATATATGAGGGGGCTTCAGAGAGTCTGTGGGAAACTCCCATTCTCTCTTGATCCCATTTTCCCCTGCGCTTTTTGTAGCATCCTCGTGCCCAGCAAAACACATCAACTCAACACCTTCGGGACATCCTGGGCCACGCATGAACTTCCCGGAGTTGTAAAACCGTCCTCACCTTGCTCTCCTAAGCTGCCCCTTCCCCACTGACAGAAGTCCACTGCCACCTCCCCACTCCCGCCCCAGCTTCCTCTCAGCTGTCCAGCCGCAGTTGTCCATTTGACCCCACCGACAAGGGGGCTGCAGAAAAGTCATGGGAAATGCCATTCCCTTTTGCTTCCACTTTTCCCATGGGCTTTTTGAAACCCCCTTGTAGGCAGTTCTTCAAAGAGTGTAACTCAAGGCAAACATTCGTACCAGCAAAAGCATAACTATTGTTCAATTTTAAAGAAGATTTCAGGGGATGTGTTTAGTCTACAGTTTAAAAATGATCTCAGGGCATCCAGGACTCCTGAAAATCTGGATGCCATGACAACTGGGAACTCTGTTCAAGAAACAGTCTTTATTAATTAAACTGAACCCTTGTTTGACTAAAGGCACCCTGGGGGCTCCCTGCATTAGGCCGTGGGCTGCTAACTGCCAGGCTTGTTGTTCAAACCCACCAGCCACGCCTTGGGAGAAAGACCAGACGGTCAGCTTCCATAAAGACTTACATACAGCCTCAGAAAACCTATATAGGGTTGCAATTGACCCTGCGGCGATGGGCTTTGTTAAATTTAAAAACAACTTCAAGGGGGGTATTTTTGGTGTAAAGTTTAAAGATGACTTAGGGTAATAGTTTTGGGGGTACATCCAGGCTCAATAGCTCAAGGAGCCTAGTTTTGTGGGCATGTGGCTGCTGCATGCAGTGGGGTGTCAAGACCAGGGAGAAGAAGGTCAAAACATCCCCCCACACCAACTGGCCTTGAGTCAATTCTGATTCCTAGTGATCCTACAGGAGAGCAGACCTGCCCTTGTGGGTTTCTGAGGCTATAAACCTTTATGGGAGCAGGCGGCCTTGGCTTTCTCCTGTAGAGAAAACTTGTGGGTTTGAGACACCACCCTGAATGTCGGCAGCCCTGTGGTTAATCCCCTGTGCCACCAGGGTTAACCCTGGCTGCACCAAAGAGTCCAGGGCCAGAAAAGAGGGCCACAGCTGGCAGGTTTGACAGTTGCTGGCATGTCTCTGTCGCCACCTCCTGGCAGACCTGGGACATAACATGCCCTCTCAGTGAGACGTCAGAGGAGCCACAGTCAAGAAATCTAACAATGGTGAATGGCACTGGGGCCTGAATGAGCTGGGGACTGAAGGACTGGACTTCAGCCTTCACGGCTCCATAAAGAGTTGTCCCGCGGTTGAATACTTTTTCTGGGCTATGTGCAATTCGCCCACAAGCCTTGGCTCCCTCCTCTTCACAATGGGCATCAAACTGGTTGGTTGTGAAGATTCAGTGAAATCAGGGGCACCTGGCACATGCAACTGAAAAAACCTCCCACAGGCGGCTTCTGGATGGTTTGCTCTGCATTGGAGAAAACCGAGAATAATCCTTAAGCGCACAGGCGTGGAGTCAAACGAGCTGCATTTAAACTCACCTGGAGCACTGCAGTGACCGGTCTCCCTGACTCCACCGGACCCCACCATCGTCTCTCCACAGCCAGGGTGACCCGGTTCAGAGACAGTCAACCTGAGACCAACAGACTCACCAAGATTCGCCCTGGGAGCTTCTACACCTCGAACCGACAAGAGCCAAGGGTCCCTCCCAAGTAAAAAAAAAAACGGCCCAAGAAAAAAAAAAATCGCTCATGAGCACTGTGGACCTTAAGAAAACACCATCACTCTGAGGCCAGGAACGGTAGTTGGGAAAGATGGTCTGGATGACAGAAACGAAGTTAGAGATCGCATGACAGAATTTTGCAAGACAACGACTTGTTCATAGCAAGGACCTTTTTTCAACCACACCACGTGGACTTCTCCAGCTGGAATCCACAGAGTTCAAGTTGACTGCATCTGTCAGAAGAGACGATGGTGAAGCTCACTCTCAGCAGCCCAAATAAAGCCAGACGCTGACAGGGGAGCAGAGCATGAGTTGCTCATATGTAAGTTCAAGTTGAGGAAAATTAGAACAAGGCTACGAGAGCCAAAATGTGAACCTTGAGTGGTTCTGCCGTTGAGAAGAAAGGGAATTCCAGAACACTTCATGGTGTTCACACAGAACCTGTACATGGACCAAGAGGCATTTATTCAACCTGAACAAGGGAGGAATGCCCGGCTTCAAATCAAGATAGGGTTGGGTTCCCTTACTGTGCTCAATCAATCTGTCTGCTGACCAAATAATCGGAGAAGCCGGACTGTATGAAGAAGACCGTGGCATCGGGATTGGAGGAAGACTGATGAGATACGCAGATGATGTCGCCCTGCTCACTGAAAGCGAGGAGGGCTTGAAGCACTAGCTGATGAAGAGCCAGGACCGCAGCCTTCAGTGTGGATGACGACACAATGCAAAAAAACCCAAACCCTCACAACTGCCAATAGGTAACATCGAATAATGGGGAGAAAAAAAAGGTTGAAGTTGTTAAGAATTTCATCTTGCTTGGATCCACAATCAATGCTCATGGGAGCCACAGTCAAGAAATCTAACAATGGTGAATGGCACTGGGCAAATCTGCTGCACAAGACCTCTTTAAAGTGTTGACGAACAAGGGTGTCACTTTGAGGACCCAGGTGTGCCTGACTTGCCTTGCAGATCCAAGTGAAAGTTGGACAGTAAATAAGGAAGCCCGAACAAGAACCGATGCATGTGAATTGCAGTGCTGGAGAAGAATGTTGAAAGTATCATGGACTGCCCAAAGAACCAACTGATCTGTCTTGGGTGGGGTGCTGCACAGAGCTCCTAGGCAAGACTCTGTCTCATGGACTTTGGATATGTTGTCAGGAGAAAGTAGTTTCTGCAAAGCATATCCTACTTGGTAAACTAGAGAAGCTAAAAACTCACTGCCATCGAGTCGATGCCGACTCACAGTGACCCTATTGGACGGAGTAGAACCGCCCTCTTTGTTTCTGAGGCTAACTATTTATGAGAATAGTGGCTGGTGGTTTCAGACTGCAGGCGAAGAGGAAGTCGAGAGGAAGTCGAGAGGCAGTGAGAAAGAAGACCGTCGATGAGATGGGTTGACACCGTGGCTGCAACCATGGGCTCAAACATAAGAACCACTGTGAGGATGGTGCCTGATGGGCAGTGTTTCGTTCTGCTGTACTTAGGGTCGCTATGGGCTGGAACGGACTTGACAGGACCTAACAACAACAACAACATGAGATTAAATAGTCGATGCTGTTGTCTGTGGTTCCATGGAGTGGGTTCTGACCCATAGTGGCCCTGTGCACAGCAGAAGGAAACTCTGCCCGGTCCTGGGCCAGCCTCACAATCGTTCCCATGCCTGAGCCCACTGATGCAGCCCACGTCCATCCACCTCCTTTTCACCGACCCTCCACTTTACCAAACACGGGGTCCTTCTCCAGAGACCTGCCTCTCCCGACAAGATGTCCCAAGTACTAAGACCAGGCAATCATGACTTTGAAACAAAGAGGAGAGGCGGGCGGGGGATGGAAAGCACCACCAGAATGGAAACAAGGAGAACAGTCACATGGTGTGAAGCAGGCAACCGCTCACAGAACCACTTGGGTAGAGTTGACTGAATAGGACACTGTTGTGTGCCCTGAAAACACAACACGGTATTTTCACACACAACACAGTATTTTTCAAAAAGGAAGGTAAACAAGATGATGCCACAGCTGCTCAAACCTCTAACAGCTCCCCTGGGACCGAACGTATGCTGGGAACACAGCCAAACACCATCCCCTCAACCCACAGGCTCCCAGCTCCCCCACTCCCCCCACTCCTTTCCTTTGGCCCACTCTCTCCCTCAGCCCACAGGCGCCCTCTGGCTGTTTTCAGGGCCTTTGCACTTGCTGCGCCAGGAAAGCGCTTCCTCCTCAGGGATGGCTGTTCCCTGCCAGCTGTGCAAAATGCCACCTGGCCACACTCCACATAGGGCGTCCCAACTTTCGACAAGACTCCTTTCTGCCCTGAGTGTATTGTCACCTACGCCAAACAGATCCCTCTCTTAAGACTTCATTCTTGCAGGAACCCCCCCACTTTTCCAAAGCCGATTTACAGCACTTTGCTCTTCCGAAAGACCGAATTTCTGCTAACCAGAAGTCATCAGGAGAGGACGTCCGCTTTTACCACAAAAGGTAAAAGCAAAACTAGGGCTCCTCCTCTTCTGTTTGGGCCGTGAGCTGTTAAAGGGGCCGCGTGCTCCCGTGAGGGCAAGGGCAGTGGTGCTCCTGCTGAACTCTGGAGCGATGAAAGAGCAGATCAGACGCAGACAAACAAGAGCCCGCCTGGTCTTTAGGAGCCGCCCGAGTCGGACTCCCAGCGACGCATGCGCAGCAGAAGGAAACACTGCCTGGTCCTGCGGCAGCCTCGAAAATGCTGCTCTATTTGAGCCTGCTGTCAAGCCATCGCAGAGTCACCTTTTGTACGAAACCTCTGCTTTGTACAGCATGATGTCCTTCTCCAGGGACACGGGGACAGACAGACGCCATGTGGAGGTCCCCAAGCAACCCTGTGGATGCTAGCGAAGCACACCCAAGGGCCTTCCCCCGCAGCGGACAGAAAGAACCATTCCCCACAGCGGGAGCTCTGGATTCGGGCTGCTAGTTGCTTTTCACCAGTGGTATTCCTGATACAGTTAAGACCACACTCACCCCAAATGGTCTGGACCTAAGGGCATTCCTGGGGTGGGGGTGGGGGGGGGGAAGGCAGGTGCCAGGGCTTCCCTTTTAAAACCAGGGACGTTCCAGGGACGCTGGACTGTCTGCTGTGGAGACCACACTTACTCTGCCTCCAGAGCAGCCAGCCGGGCCTGGAGCCGGGCCTGGGCACTGCTGAAGTCCGCCACCATGGCCTGCATCTCCTCCCGATGCTCTCGGCGCAGCGCCTCCACCCCCCGGGCCCGTTGGGCCTGCTGCTCCTCCTCCCGCGACCTGTGGGCAGGCGGGCAGCAGTCAGAGCTGTTCTGGTCCCAGGGATCTGTTCCCCACTGTGCTGGGTGGGCGTCCTGGCTTGGGAGTCATGGGCAGGAGAATGAATCTGGGAAGCCTGGGAGGGGGCCTCAAGAATTCATTCTTGGCTCCCAGCACCTTTGTACTCGACAGCTTCGATAAACAGATGCCTGGGAAGATACATGCTCCCTCCAAAAGAAATGGATTGCATGAAAAGTCCTATAGCTATTTAAGAAATGGCATGTATCATTAAAATAAAGGCTCTGAACTCAGGAGTCATAATAAATGGTTACACATGGATTCATAATGATAGTATTGTTGTTGTTATAGACATTACTATCCTATGTGACCCATAGGATAGAGTAGAAGAGGGTTTACTTGGCTCTAATCTTTTTGGTGGGTTACGCCCCTGGATTGCTAACTCAAGGTGAATGATTGGAGACCACCAGCTGTCCCACAGAAGAAAAGATGAGGTGTTCTACTCCCATATAGATTTACAGCCTCATACACACACAGGGGCAGCTCTAACTAGTCTTACGGGGTCGTTGGTGTCAGAACCGATGGCAGTTGTTCGTTGTTTTTCCGTAGAGGAGCCAGACAGCAGATGGCAGCGGCTCACCCAGGCCGGCAGGCTGGCAGGGGATCTGGGGGTCCCTGCAGGCTGACCAACCTGAGCTGCTCGCGGAGCTGCATCGCCTCCTGTCTGTGCAGTTCCACCTCAGCCAGCAGCCGCCGCACCGCGTCCTCCCAGAGCCCGCAGCCCTCGCTCTGGCCCTGCTCGCAGGCGCCTGTTGTCTGGGAGCCAGAGTCGCCTCGCTCCTGCAAAGGGACGGGCCTTCAGGAGGCGCGGATGGACATGTGGACATGCACACCGGATCACAGGTCCACAGGGGCCCAGGCGGAGGTCCCGGGCGTCAGCTCAGAGCATACCACATCTCTTCAAGCCCACTGCTTTGGGATCTGGCCACACCGGGTCCTGAACTGGTTTACAAATGAACGCGGTGAGCCATGAACCCCACTGCCTTCTGCCTTTGCCTTGTAGGCTCCCTGTGAATGGAGACCTGAAGGCTGGCTGGGAGAGAGGCCTGGGCATTTAGGGGAGGGAGGTGGGGGTAGGGGGGTGGCAAGAGAGGAGTGCCATCTGACCCGGAAATTCAAGGAGAGCTGATCCAGGGCCAGGGAGGCCCAAACCTGCGGTCTGGCTAGGGGTATTCTGAGTGACCCCAACCTTGAGTCCTGCCTGGAACCCTCCTAGAGGCCATGGGTCTGTGCAATAAATGCGCACAGTATTTAAGACCTGCTTTCTGATTCTCAAAGGTCCCTAGACCTAATCCCCAGAGGGGTATGGCAGGCGAGGGATCTCCCTAGATCAGACCCTGAAGTCTATCTTCCTGGACTAATGGCTACAGCCCTAAGCAGCACCTAGGGGAGATGTTGGCAGGACACTTACCTGGGTGGTGAGGGCTTGGTTCCCGCTGTCCCCTGGAGGCTGCGGGCCAGCCCGCTGTTGACCTGAGCTGCCCAGAGCCCTCAGGTGGGCCTGCAGGGCCACCAAGTCCTGCTGGTGCTCGGAGCAGGCAATCCGCTGCTCGGACAGCTCCTGCCTCAGGGACTCTGGAGAGAGACCAGCAGGTCAGAAGGGTTGCAGGGCTGCAGGTGGTCCTGCCAGGACAACAGACTAGGGTGGGGAGCCAAGTGGGATGGAGGAGCAGCTGCTGAAGGCTTTGGGTTGAGTTCCCTTAAACGTAGTTCAAGATAATAGTAAGAATAGCTACCAAGTATTGAGGACTTTCTCCGTACAAAAACCCAGACACATAAAAAACAAAACAAAACCAAAACACAGCCCAATTGTTAAAAAAAATTACAAACCTAAGTAACATAAAAACAGGACATGAATTAGAGGTACCATAGATTAATTCATTTAACCCCACACTTTCCATCCCTCCCTCACTCTGCCTGTCCACCCGTCCTGCCACCTGTCCACCCATCCTGTCCTCTGTCCATCCATCCTGTTATTTATCCATCCATCCTGCCACCAGTCCACCCATCCTGTCCTCTGTCCACCCACCCTGCCACCTATCCATCCATCCTGCCATCTATCCATCCATCTATCCATCCATCCTGCCACCTGTCCATTCATCCTGCCATCTGTCCATCCATCCTGTCATCTGTCCACTGTGTCATCTGTCCATCCATCCTATTCTCAGTCTTGAGTCCCAGTCCTAGTGTACCAGGTACTCTGGAGGACACCGCTGCACCCAATCTTTCACAGACGGAGTGTACTGAGTTCAATGGTGTTCCCCAAATCCATGTCCTAGACACAACCCTCAGAAAGAGACCTTTGGAAGCAAGGCATTTGCAGGTGTAAGTAGGTGGCACGAGGTTCTACTGGAGCACAGGGTGATGATACCAGAGCAAGTTCACAATGACGGGCGTCCTTAAAGTCCCCGACAGAGATGAGGGAAGTGGCCATGGGAAGA